GGTCCGCGCTAGACTTGGGGGGCGTGGCCGGGGGGGGGAAAAAAACACTGCCTGCAGGGCACTTGGCCAATCCGGAGCTGTACGATTGCCTAAGGGGCGTGGCCGTGGCCGTTTGGGTAGCTCCCAGAGACTCGCAGCCCGGGGCCTGGTCAGGCTTTCTGGACCGCAGGACCCGGACCAATCGTAGTGTTGGCTTCTCAGTGGGGCGGGGCCTGTCTCGAAGGAGTGGCCAATCCCGTTGCGGAAGCCTGAACTGGGCGGGCCGCAGGAGAACCAGGCCCGCCTGGGGGCGTGGCTCGTCAGGACGTTGGCCAATCTTAGAGTCAGGCCGGGCTCAGGGGCGGAGTTTCGAGGTGCCCAAACCATTGAGGGCGTTTGGGTTTGAGGAGGGCGCGACCCATCGGGCCGAGGCCAATCGCTCGGTCCAGAGAGAGCCTCTGGGGGCGTGGCCCACCGGGGCTGGGGGCGGGGCCTGGGCCCGGTTCCGGGCCGTCCGGGACGGCGCCGGGGCCATGTCGGCGCCGCAGCCGCTGCAGATCCGCGAGGCGAACGCACACCTGGCGGCTGTGCACCGGCGCGCGGCGGAGCTGGAGGCGCGGCTGGACGCGGCGGAGCGCACAGTGAGCGCCCAGGCCGAGCGCCTGGCCCGCCACGACCAGCAGCTGCGCGCTGCGCTGGAGGAGCTGGGCCGCGCCAAGGACTGGTGAGGCCCGGGGCCGGCCAGGTGGACTTCTTGAAGGACGTGGGCGGAGGCAGAGCCGAGGCTGGAAAGGGAGGAGAGGCGCGGGAACCGTGTACATTCACGTGTAGGCTGGACTTCCGGTGCAATTGAACAAACAAACACCAAAAACCTCGAACTAGTCACCGGCATGCCAAGTTGAGGGGTGTCACACAAGTGTGGATTTCTAACTTAAAACAGAGCCCGTTTTTCCACAAGGCAAAATCGGCTCTTTTCCAGGGGTGCGGGGATCACCCACCTCCCCTTAGGTATTGGGAGCCATGACAGGTTTTGGAGCAGAGGAGGATGGGATCACACCAGCAGTTCTGAAGAGCCCCTCTAGTTTTGAAGAGGCACTGAGGATGGAAAGGGATGAGACAAGCGCCCAGGGGGGAGGGAGGTCTGGAGCCCAAGTGGGAAAGGGTTCGGACCTGGTTGGAACCATTCATTCATCTTTACTGAGCACCTGTGTGCCAGGCAGCTTCCGCGCACCAGAGCCCCTAAGTGAGACCTACATAGCATAGCCCTCAAGCATACTAAGCAGTTACAAAATGGGGTGGTTGGGGTTGTGATGGAAGGGCACATAGGGTTCTGAGGGGGCCCAGATGGAAGGCTTCCTGGAGGAGGGGCCATCTAAGCTAAACAAATAGGAAAAGATGTAGGGGAAAGGGGACCTGCAAGGGAGCAATGAGAGTAGTGTTAGTCTGCTCTGGTTGCCATTACAGAACACCAGAGACCGGGGGGCTTTAAACAACTGATTCCTACCCCCCCCCCCCCCGGTTCTGGGGGCTGGAAAGTCCAACTGATAGGTTCAGTTCCTGGTGACAGATTGTCTTCCTGGCTTGCAGATTGCTGTCTTCGCTGCGTGCTCACACGGCAGAGAGCAAGCAAGCTCTCTGGTGTCTCTTCTTACAAGGGCACTAATTCTACGAGGGCCCCACCCTCACAATCTCATCTTATTTTACTTACGCCCCAAAGGCTCCATCTCCAAATACATCACATTGGGGATGGGTGGGTAGGGATTCAGCCCAAGAGTTTTGAGGGGACACAAACATCCAGTCCATGCCAAGGGGGGGCCTTGAAGCAGTGGCGAGGAGCAGGGCCTTATCCTGATGGTGATGGGGAGCCCCCCACGAGGTCGGGAGCAGGGAGAAGAACCTCTGGTCCCCTTGGTACCACAACTGCCCTGTCTTGCCTTCCTGCCAGTGAGATTGCCGCTCTCCAGGAGCAGCTGCTGACCTCCGAGGCCACGGTCCACAGCCTGCAGGCCGCCCTGCGCCAGAGGAATGAGCTCATCGGGCAGCTGCAGCCCCGGGCCGAGCTGCTGCAGGACATCTGCCGTTGGCGGCCACCCGTGGCCGGGCTGCTGGCCGCCCTGGCCGAAGCCGAGCGCCTAGGGCCCTTGCCAACTGGAGACCCCAGCCACCCACCCCCCAGCGGGCCCGGTCCAGGCCTTGCCAACAGCACTGGGGACGAGGAAGACAGGAACCACCTGCAGCCTGCGGTGTTTGGGACCACCGTGTGAGCCCCAGAGCACAGATCCCACAACGGAGACGGACTTCCACTGCTGTGGGTGTCCTCAGGGGTCACCTGTGTCCGAGAGGGGGCCCCGTGGCACAGCCATAATCCTTTCCAAGCATCAAAACCTGCTAAAAAGTCGTAGGTTTCAAACAGGCAGCCCGTGGGCCAAAGGCAGATGTGTAGCCCAGAGGGTTTTTTGGTTTTGTTCTGCTCTTGTCGTTTCTTAAAGATTTTAAATGATCCCTTTGTGGGGCTTGAACTTCCAACTCCGAGATCAAGAGGCCCATGCTCTACCTACCCACTGAGCCAGTCAAGTGTCCCTTGTTTTTGTTTTTAAACAAAACTTTAAGTCAGTCGACTTACGGGAAATTTGGCAATGTTTACACAAACATCTGGATTTCTGGCTTCAGTCTTGGTCACGCCTGCTCGGATCTGAGCCCGGGATACCCTCTTCAGCCAAAGTGTGAGGTCCAATTGGCTCTCTTGCCTCTCTTAGGGCCAGATGTCCGGCCCCTGAAGCATCTGACATCTCTGTCGCTTGTGGAGGCAGATGGCATCGAGTTTTGCTCCACCTTTTCCCCCTGCCCTGATTCCCGTTCCTTCCGAAGCACCTCTCGTCCCAGGCTAAAGCTTTTTCTTTCTTATCCTTCATCCCACTCCAGAATTGGGGACCTCAAGACTTGGGCCGTTTTGCCCTGGTTGTAGGAAGACAAATTTTTAATGCTAGATTTTTCTCTCCCCCTAACTCTGTCCTTCTGTCAACCTTTAGCCCAGAAGGCAGAGCGTGCGTGTGAGACATTGTGAGATGTTGGCAGCTAGGCTGTGCTGCCCTGGAAAACTCAGGCATCCCTCAACCTTTTCTTGGTACAGTCCTTCCTGAGGGATTTTCCACTGGCTCTTCCCTCTGCCCAGAACATTCTTCCCCCAGATGTCACAAGGACCAGTTCCTTGTCCCTCAGATCTTTGCTCAGAAGTCACCTCCTCAGAGGGGTCTTCCCTGATTGCCTTATCCGAAGTGATTCCCATCATTCTGTTATCTCTATGGAACTTCTTGTCACCAGAGTGTCAGCTACTCGAGGGCAGGGTTTCTGTTATCACCAGGAGGAGGTTCCTGGGACCTCCTTAGGAACAGGATGGGTTTGTGGGCCCTGAAGGGAGTTAGCGAACCCCAGCACATCTGATGAGTCCCCTGGCCAGTTTAGCTTTTGTAGCAAGCAGCTGGCCCCTTTTTATATTTTCTAGAGAATCTTTTTTTTTTTTTTTTTTTAAATCTCATTTCCCTGCTGCCCCTTCTTGGCCAGAGACATTCCGGGTGCCTGTTTTTGTTTTTAAATCAAACCAGGGAATCCTGTGCCTTTCTCTGCCCAGCCGAATGAAGCGCCCAGCCCGGTACCACGGTAGCCATTTGCCCGCCTCCTTACTCAGGGAATTTCACACCAAGAACTGCCAAGGGGCAGGGCCTGTTTTGGCCTGGAAAGGTCGGTGACCCTCCCCAGCCCCCAGGATGGTGCTGCCTGCCCGCCTGGTGTCTAACAGTGACCCCTCAGTGTAGGAACAATGGCCCCATTTTCTAAGGATGACTAAGGGGGGGCTGCTCGTATGAGGGAAAGGCAGGCCGAGGCCTGTCTGAGCTCAAGAATAAACTGAATGATTTCTTGGCCTTGGTCCTTCCTCCTTCCTCCTTCCCGGGTGGGGACTGGAGGGGTGGCCCGGGTGCCGTTCCGGGGTCAGGGTGGGGTCCTGCCTGGCGGGGAGACACAGGTTACAGCCACAGGGGGCTGGTGTCTAATCTTTGCGGCACAGGCTCGCCCCATTTTACAGATGTGGAAAGTGAGGCTCAGTGTGGGCCTCGGGGTCGGGAGGACCTGGAACACTTCCACGTTCTGGGGGGTTATTGTTGAGATTCTGATTCTCTTCAAGATGAGGCGGTGCCAAAACAGAGTTACAATGGCTGTGGTTAATATTTGACATTTTTCTATGGGAAAAAAATGTGATTTTTGTAACCCGCGTGGAAAACACAATGCAGCAGTTCTCTGCCTACTCGAACAACTACGGACCGCAGGAGGGCACCAGAATTTTTGCTGTAGTTTCACATACAATTGACAGTGTTACTTACATCAGCTGTGGCCCGAACCATGGTGCTGGGCCGCGTGCTCTCTGTGGATTGGTTTCTGATACCACCGTTGTTCTGTGTCTGAGTCCAAGCTTCGAAAAGCCTCTGATGACCTCTCTGGGTGTCTGCAGCTGATGGGTCCCCAAACGGGGCCCACGTTTTAGGTCCTGGGAAATCCAAAGTCATTTTCAGTCCCATCTGTGGGTTTGAAATGCTCTCAGTTGGCAAAGGTGTCCAAAGTCTCCATCGAAGGCCTTCCGCGACGGTGGCCTTGGTTCTTCTTGGGCATTGGGGGGTGGGGGGGGCAGAGGCACTTTGTCGCTTGGTGCCGTAGTTCCCTGGCTCCCCCAGCTTATTATGAGCAAGACCACTGGGTGATGTTTGAGCACTGAAAACCGACCACCAAAAGACCCACATCGACAAAAACACCACAACTGGCCTCTAAAAAACTACCAGGAACTTCTCTGTCTGACAATGTTGAAGCATCGTAAGGCTGCTGTATCCTGGCTCAGGCACATTGATCTGAAAACCTGGACGTGGGCCTGGGCCACCTCAAACCCCTTTGAACCTGGATCCCTCAGCAGCCTTGGCTGCTGCTGCCCTGTGAAAAGGGGCAGGGGGCCGGTAAAGCCCAGAGAGGGCAGGGAACCTGTTCCAGGTCACACAGGAATTGGGTCTTGAGCCTCCTCGGCCATGACCTTGCCCCTCTCCATCCAGGACCCTGGTCCTTGCAGGGCTGTGGCCCACCCCTCCTTCTTATAGCCAGGAATAGTGACCTTCCTCTTATAGCCAGGAAGGGTGACCCCCGACTCCCCACCTGGGTCTGGCTTTATCCCAGACCTGGGCACTGCAAGGCTGGGAGTGAGCAGAACAGAGGCTGGGCAGTGGTGCCCGCGAGAGCACTGCCCTGTCCCTCTTGGCCCGGCCACTCCGCTCCACAGGGTGTGCCTAGGGCTACGGGGCACCGGCACAGTGAGAGTTACAGCCGGGGCCCCTCCCAGTCTCCTGAGCCACCATCCCTTAGCAACAGTCCTGCTGGGCAGGACGCGTTGCCAGCGCTGGGCAAAGTGGGCAGGAGCCAGAGGAGTGGCTGTCTGGCTTCCAGAGCAGACGAAGGGCAGGTGAGCAGGTAGTGGGCCAGGGCAGGCTTGCGGCACCTGACCACAGCCTGGCCGGCAGAGTGGGAGCCCTTCCTCCAGCTCTCTCCAATCCAGCTACCCGGACAGCCCTGACCCAGCATGGATGCTGTGGACGCCACTGTGGAGAAGCTCCGGGCACAGTGTCTGTCCCGAGGGGCCTTGGGCATCCAGGGCCTGGCTAGGTGAGCTGTCCCCTGAACCTTCTCGACCCCCAGCTCCAGAGACTACCTTCTAACTCCGTCCCCCGCCCCTCAGGTTTTTCCGCCGCCTGGATCGGGACAAGAGCCGATCCCTGGACTCGGGGGAACTCCAGCGGGGCCTGGCTGAGCTGGGGCTGGTGCTGGACGCAGCTGAGGCGGAGGGTGTGTGCAGGCGCTGGGACCGTGACGGCAGTGGGACGCTGGACCTGGAGGAGTTCCTGAGGGCACTGCGGGTGAGGCCCTGGGCCCCGCGGTCTGGAGGGTGGGCTTGCCTGGGACAGTGCGGACACCGGATGTCCGAGAGCCCTGGTGGGTGGAGGGCCCCCCAGTTACTGCCTTCTCCTCCCCAGCCCCCCATGTCCCAGGCCCGGGAGGCGGTCATCGCAGCTGCGTTTGCCAAGCTGGACCGCAGTGGGGACAGCGTGGTGACCGTGGACGACCTCCGGGGGGTCTACAGTGGCCGCGCCCACCCCAAGGTGCGAAATGGGGAGTGGACCGAGGAGGAGGTCCTCCGCCGCTTCCTGGACAACTTCGACTCCTCTGAGAAGGATGGGCAGGTGGGTGCCCCCGGATACCCCTGCCCCCTCCACCCCGGTGTCTGGTCTCCACTTACAGCCCACCTGCCCCCAGGTCACTCTGGCTGAATTCCAGGACTACTACAGCGGCGTGAGCGCCTCCGTGGACACAGATGAGGAGTTTGTGGCCATGATGACCAGCGCCTGGCAGCTGTGAGCAGTACACGCTTACCCAGCCAGCACCATCGTAGTGTAGGACCCCCACCCTGGCCCCCGAGCCCTGGCCCCTCTCACCTGGGCTTCTAGCTGCACAGCGCCCAGGGCGGGGGGGGGGGGGGTGCTACAGAGGAATGTGGAAGATTGAGGCTGTGGGACCAGCCGGACCGGGTCTCAGAGGACCCAGCTTGGCCATCAGGTGGAAGGAGGACAGAGGTTCCAAGGATGGGTCACTGGCTCAGAATCCCTGTCCCTGCTGTGCTGACCTCAGGCCTCACAAAGCCACTGCAGATGCCCCCCACCCTGCTTCCTCCCGTCTCTGCTCAGTGAATCCTCCGCCCTGCCAGCAACGCCGTGGCCCCCCCCCCCCCCCCCCACCCAGGGAAGCCAGACGGCCGGGGACAAAGCAAAGCTCAGCACGGAGGCGGCCAGTCTTGGAAGGCAGCCAAGTGTGGTGACCTGCCCGGACGTGCCGTGGGGCGCAGGGGCCAGGCTGGCCCGGGAGCCGGAGGCTGTTCTTGGCCAGGCTGTCTGGCTTCCTGAGGCCCCTGGGGCATGCAGGAGGCCAGAGTTTTAGTTAAAAGTTTTAATGTAGTTCCCAAATACATTTCATATGACAATCTTACATAAATGTTCCAAAACACATGGGCATTATCTGGTTTTACTTGTCACTAGTTGGCTAAGGCTTAAAGCAGAGAAGTGTGACCGGATCTGCTGGGAGGGCCTTTGGTGTCTTCCCACGGCTCAGGCTCAGGCTGTACACGACCGACCCGAGGTGTGGGTGGTGTTGTAGCTGCACAGATGAGGCCTTCTTACCCTCTGAGGGCAGGGCTGGGCAGTTTCCTCTGAAATCCCTTGGAGCCCTGTGCACAGGACCATCTTCACAGGCCTTCCCGGGTGCATGATGCCCGGCTGGCTCTTGGCCACGCTCCAGGGTGGGGGGTGGCCATAGCGCCTGCTCCCGTGGGGGATGGCCGGTTGCCGGGAACCAGTCCCCTGCCCCCTCCTCGAAGGCCCTGCCAAGGTCCCCCTCTGCCTCTCACAGAGGACCCCAGCCCTGGATGGTCTTGGGGGCGGTGAGGTCCAGGGCTGGGCAAGGAATGGCCAGCGGCAGGAAGCAGTTCTGCGCCTGGGTGCCAGATGATGGGTGACCGACGTGATGGGGACAGGCAGGAAGGTGCATGGGGACCCTCCCAGGGTCCAGCGACCCTTTTCTAGGTAAGCTCTCTCCAGGTCTGGGGCCCAACCCCTCAACACGTCAGCACTGGGCCTGAAGCACCCCTGGGTAGGGAACAAGCGGGGGCCTGACCCCCACCCCAGCACAGAGGCCAGGAGCACAGGGAGGAGGAGGACGTGGCCCAGGATGGAGGTGTGCCCAATCGATGCACAGGAGAGTCTTAACCTAAGAAACCAAACACAAAGCTTCGGGGGAAAAAAAGATCTAAAAATATAAGCCCCAAATCAGAAGGTGGGAAACCGGAGACAAAGATGGTGGTTAACAAAGCGTCCAGCAGGCCCAGTGTTTATACTCGTGTGGACAGACCCGCCTGGGTGGGCGGCGGCGACAGAGGCCGGGGACACGAGGAGGGAGGGGTGAAGAAACAAGGTGTCCCAGTCCCAGTGAGAAGCCGTGACAAGTCTTAATGTGCCATTTCGATTCAAAGGAGGGGAGGGAAGAAATGTTCTTTTTCGTTTTGCTCATCAATATGATGAGGTCTCGTGTCCCAAACCACATTCAGGCAGTTCCCGAGTCTGCTTCTGAACGGGACATGCGGATCCGAACTGTGGCCAACCCAGCGGGGAGTGTGGTTCCCGAGCCCCACGCCTCAACACTGCCGGCGGGGCGGGGCGGGGCAGGCGGGCGGACAGACGGACAAAGCAGCAGGCTCGCGGGCAGCCGGCTCCCGGCGCTATGTGCTCCCGGCCGTCTGCCCGTCCCCTTCATCGCCAGCACCTGTTGGGAAGCAGCGGCCTCACCGTCAGGTCCCCACCCTGGATGGAGCCCCATTCCCTTCGGTCAGGCCCCCCCACAACCTCCAGGGCGGGGACCACCAGCTCACCGCCTCCGGTGGCCCCTGATGGAGCCAGGACGTCCTCGTCACTGTCGTCCTCGTTGGATGGGGCTGCCCCGGGTTCGGGGGCAGGCAGCTTGGCTTCCTGCTCCTGCTCCACGCGGCTGCGCAGGGCCAGGATGCGGTGGTGCAGGGCTGCATACAGCTGGCCCGTGTCCTTGGAACTGGCCTGGGAGAGGCGGAGGGAAGCAGTGGGCTGTAAGGCCTCTGGGTTGGGCTGGCTGCCACCACATCCCCAGGCTGTGTCCGGGGAGGACAAACTCAGGGACAGCGGACGGAAGCCCCTGCTGCCCCGGGGCCCGTCCTCCCCAGGGGCTCACACAGCTTGCGGCTGCACTGGCGCTGGTGCTCGTGCTGCGGGGCTGCTCTGGTCGTTCTTCCACCCATCTGTCCCGACCCGCTCCTTCTGGACACTGGCTGGCCTGCAGGCCACCCTACTGGCCCCCTGGACCACAGGGCGCCCCACAGAGGGCCGGCGCTTAGTGCGGCCCTGCGGTGCGCCGACTGGGTGTGCCCGGGAACCTCCCTTCTGTGGGGGTGCAGGAGGGCACGGCCCTCGTCCAGGGCGCCGTCTGGCAGCTCCTTTCCCCAAGAGGTCAGCAGCATCCCACCCTTTCCCCAGGGCTACTCACTGAGATCAGGAAAACCTTCACGCCCTGGTCCTCGGTGTCCATGGCTGTGATGCGTATGCTCTTTTCACTGGCCTTGTCAATCTGCATCTGGGCCCACAGCTTGGTGTTGAGGATCAGCCGCAAGCTGCCCTGGGTCCGCATCACTGCAACCAGCAAGGCCACTCAGCCCCGGCCCCTGACCCCCACCCCACAGCCGGCGAGGAGAGCAGACACCACCCGGAACGAAAACATCACAGGGGTGAAATCCCACAATCCCCTCGAGGTCCGCTGAGCCGTAGCCCCCCACGCGCCAGGCCAGCCCTGGACTCCCTAGCTCCCCCATGGCCACGGGTGGGCCAAGAGGCCACCATATATCCACTGCGTGGAGGGTTCCGTCGGTCCTCCCAGCAGGCACCAGGACGATGGCTCCCTTGGGGAAGGGGAGGATTAGGGGAAGGTGAGGCCCAAGAGGGACAACTGCGGGCTGGGCACGGGCGCTTTTTTAGGGGACCCCTGACCGGCCCGATTCTCAGGGCAGCCCCAGCCCCGACCCTGTGGCTTTCTGAGAAAAAAGACCGAGGCCAACTGCTGCTTAGAGCTTCCACCAGGAGGGAGACAGAGACAGAAGGTGCCACATGGTGAAGAAAAAAGAGGCTACAGACCTTCCTTCTCTGGAAGAACCACCCCATTCTACCTGCAGCAGGCCCAAGGCCACTGTCCGCCTGCCGGCTCTACCAGAGCCCACCTTCCCCGCATGTGCCCTGACCCTGCGGACATGGCGACGGCTTGTCTTCCTGTCAGCCCACCCCTCCCCACCAGACGGAGCAGCTCGGGCCAGCTCAGGGAGGCTGCAGGGTGGGGTCGTGGGCTCCTAGTGACCAGACTCCCCCAAGTCCACTCCCCGAGCCCTCTGCGCCCAATGGGCCCACCTCCGAGGCAGGTGGAACGCTTGGGACGGGCTGGGGGAAGGAAGGTCTGTGATGAGGATCAACAGCCGTACGGGGTGACTGAAGTTACTGTTTGATTTCCTTTTCCTTTTTGCACCATAAAGCAACCGGCCCTTTTACTATTAGAAAACAAGTTCGAAAGTTGCTAAGTACTCTTGTCTACTTTCACACCCACAAAGAGGAGAGTCGCGGAAGAGCTGGCTGCGAGAGCCTTGGGATCAGGCCTGGGCCTGCAGGCCACGGGGTGTGGGTGCCAGGGGCTCTCCCGTGGGGATCCGCCCTGGGATCTTGCCCTTCTGGGCGTGGGGACCACTGCACTACCCCAGGCCCCCTCCACGGCTCACCTAGTCGGGACTGTAGTGTCCCATCGTCAGTTGACGCCATGTCGTTGAGTCTGAGCAGCCCCCGGCCTCTTTCCACCCACGACTGTGAGGCCTTGTCAAAGACAAACAGCTTACACTGGATCTGGAACACAGGGCAGCCCTCTGGGTGAGCAGGGCCCCGGCGGGGGTGGACACTGGTGTGGACAAACTCCCCAGAGCCTCCAATCTACCGAGTGAACTAGCAGGCAGAGGTCAGCAAACTATGGCCTGGGGGCGGGGGAGCGGGTCACGTAGCCCTTGGCCAGTTTTTCTTTTTTTTTCCTGTTCTCCGGCGAAGATGAAGTCTACATTTTCAGAGAAACATTAAAAAAATCACTAAGGTCGGGGCACCTGGGTGGCTCAGTCGGTTAAGCGTCCGACTCTTGATTCTGTCAGCTCAGGATGTCACGGTTTGTGAGATGGGAGCCCCACGTTGGGCTCTGTGCCGACAGCGTGGAACCCGCCTGGGATTCTCTCTCTGCCCCTTCCCCTGCTCATGCTCTTTCTCTCAGTGAATAAAAATAAAGTAAAAAAAAAAAAAAAAAAAAAAAATCACTAAGGAAATAAAGATAAAAACCACAATGGGGTACCACTTCGCCCCTGCTAGGAGGGTGGCAGCAGGCACTGGGGAGGGTGTGGAGAAACCGGAAGCCTTGCACGCGGCTGGTGGGATGAAAAATGGCATGGCCGCTGCAGAAAACGGTTCTTCAAAATGTCAAAGGTGGAGCTACCGCATGGCCCAGGGTTTTAGAGAAATGACACGTATCTTCACACGTGAGCCTGTATACACGTTCATGGTAGCACGGTTCGGAACAGCTAGAAAGCAGAAACAACCTAGACGTCCACCAGGCACGGGCACGTCCCTCGGCCACGAGCAGGAGCGAGGCGCCCACACCTACCGCCCCGGGGACGGACCCTGAACACACGACGCTCAGGGAGGGAACCAGACACGAGAGGCCACACAGGGTGTGAGTCCACGTGTGTGAAACGTCCAGAACAGGCCCATCCACCGACAGGAAGGGGGCTCGTGGGGGCCGGGGCTGGGGAGGGGGTGGGAGGGCTGACTGCTAACCGATACGAAGTTTCTTTTTTGGGGGCAAAAATGTTCTATTTTGATAGTGGTGGCAGTTGCACAACTATGTGAATATACTAAAACCACTGAGTTGTATGCTTCAGAAGGGTGAATTTCATAGTATATGTGTTCTATCTCAACAAAGCTGCTATAGATGTATAAAAACGGAATATACCACAGAGACCATGCCTGGCCCTCCACATGAAGTGTGCAGATCTTTATCAAGTTGCTCTCTTTATACGGGTAGAACTTCAAAACAATGCCGAGCGGGCAGAAACAGCAGTAGTTCTAAAAGCCCTACACCGGCGCCCGGGTGGCTCAGTCGGTTAAGCGCCCGACTTCAGCTCAGGTCATGACCTTGCAGTTCGTGAGTTCGAGCCCCGCGTCGGGCTCTGTGTTGCCAGCTGAGAGCCTGGAGCCTGCTTCAGAGTCTGTGTCTCCCTGTCTCTCTTTGCCTCTCCGCTGCTCGCACCCTCTCTCAAAAATAATTAAAAAATAAAAAAAAAAAACACCATTAAAAAAAATTCTAAAACCCCACATTAAAAACTCTGTTGCCCTACAGACGCAGTTCATAGACACAC